TATACTTTTTTTTTATATTGTTATTTACTTTATGTTTAAGTTCATATATATGCCTGCTTGTTTGGTAGAGTAATCCTTTAGTTAGCAAATCTTCATGTTTAATTGAGAATTATTTTTTGCTACACACTTGTCTTTACTGTTTATACTTGTTACATGTTCATGCTTAGAAATTTTCATAGAAAATAATTTAGAAAAATTTTCTTCCTGCTTATATTTCTGCATTAATTTTTTTAAACTATTTTTAAAAAAAATCTAAATTATGGGAGGGAGAAAACTTTTAAACAAAAAACCAACCTTTATTTGTCCTCAATAAACTAAAATTTAAAATTATTTAAAAATAACATATGGTATGTGATGTTATCCTCAGGAAACTATATTTTTGATTCTATGAATTTTATAGTAGACTTAAGTTAAAATTTTGGATGATAAGGGCTAGTTTTAGAGTTAAGATATTTAGTATAAAAGAATAAGGATATGCTTTTACTATTCATAGTGGAAAAGATGTATTTTTGAAACACTGAGAATCTTAGATTTACATTTTAAAAAGAATTGAGGCTTTATGAAAAATCATTTTTATAAACACATTATTAAGTAAATAATAGTGAGAAGTTTTTTATCCTTAGGAGGAGGATAGTGAAGTTTAGAATTATGAAAGATTATCCAGATATAGTAATCCTCACATAAAAAAAGAAGAAGAAAGGATTAAAAAGATCATGAAAGAAAAGAGAAAAAAAAAGAAAAAGAAAAGAAATGTTTAAAAAATTTTGTGGAGAAGCTTGAGGAGATGCCTAATTAAAAATTGGCTTTAATCGAATCATATTAAAGGAAGCAACTTAATTACAATTCTGAGCTTATTATCAATACTAAATGTATTAGTCAAATCTTACTAATAGAGTTCTCATATAATTCTACTTTTTAATTCTTTTAGGATTCCTAAGTCTGACAAATTATAATTATTTTTGAAATGAATAAAAAATCAGAATTCCTAACTTAATTACTAGATATTCTTATACCATATTTCTAGCTTGAATTATTGAAAATTTTTCTAAAGTTACACTATCACATTTATGGGACAAAATAACAGGAATCTTTAGAGAAACCCACTGCCATAAGTTAAAGTATTTGTTTTATAAAATAAGAGAGTTACTTGAACACAATTAACAGTAAAGTTTGGGGGAATTGACATGTCTAAAAATGTCCTACTTTTTTTATATACATTTTATGCTTATTTTTAATTATAATTCACTTTAATGGAAATTATTTTGCTTGTCGTTGGTTTCAGGTACAAGAGAGAATTTTGGAGAAAAATGAGCAAAAATGGGGTCAAATGGAGCAAATGAGCAAAAAAGTGAATTGGTGCATAGACGCTAACTTTTGGCGCCGATGTACTAGACCCCGTAAGTGGAAATAGAGAGTCTGCGGCATGGCGCTAGGAACTATCGCCAAGGCGCCAGCCAGTTATTTCAGGCTTCTAGAAGGTTGGCGCCTAGGCGCCACAGTTGGGCGCCTAGGCGCCATAATTGGTTTTGATGGTTATGCATTTGAGATGATTTTTGGGAATTTCAAAGATTATAAAAAGACGAGTCTCTTAGTGCCTAAAAAGAGTAGAAGAAAAGGGGGGGGGAGAGAAGTGTAAAGGGGTTAATATTTCCAACACTTCAGAGTGCAAAAGAAGAGGAAAAGTGAGAGATTTATTTCATTTTTTTGCATTTCTGAGTGATATTTGGAGTAATTGTAAGAAGAATTTTTCAAAGAAACTTCAGAAGATGTGCTTGGGGAGAAGTTTGAGATAAGTGTTTTGTATTTTTATTTGAGTTTTGTTAAATTTTATTGTGCAAACCGTATTTTTGTTTGAGTTTTGTTAAATTTTATTGTGTAAACTTGCTTTTATATATATATATATATATCACGTGTTATTGTTTTGTCCACATAAAACCTAAGTAGTTATCCTTAATCTTTCTCCTGGTGATGAGAAATAATCATGTATAAAATTAGAGTTTTTTAACATTTCTTTTATTTCATAATTGTGATGATTCATTACTTCGCACTTAATTTACTTATTCAGTCTGATCAATTAATAAGTTAAATCTTGTTGTGAATCATAATGACCCGGGAGGGCTATTAATTCCTCAACTAGTAAAAATCACATTGCACTATTTAGGGGTGAACGAAAAGTAGTCAATAGAGCAGTGCAAAATAAATCGGGAGAAAAGTTTTGATGGGTGTAAATTGGTGATTTTAGGATGATAGGCTATAATCATAACCAATTTAATCTAGTGTTTGGAACCTAAAGCTTGGTTAGCCAAATTAAGGGCTTACGTAGGTATTCTAGAGTGACAGACTAGATTCTACCCAGCATAACCAAGGATTTAGGAACTTAACTCTAAGTTAACCAATGTTCTTTATGCAATTGGAATATGGTAAATAATATGTATACTTCTGTTTGTCACAAAACTACATTTAAATTTATAAACATTTGATTCCTGCACTGATTATAATTTCATTGCAATGAGAGGATTTTTCATACAATTTGAACTTTTCTACATAAACTAGTTTAGAAAAATATAACATTTTCTTTAAGTTTAGAAATAGAATTTGTAGGTATTAGTTAATTCTTTTTACACATACAATTTCAACCTTAATTTCTAGATAATTTATCTGCAGTTTAATAAGAGTTTTACTAAGTCGATAAAAAAGAGTTTTTCCATCCCCGTAGGATCAATACTTGGGGATTAAAATAAATTCCTATATTACTTGACATGATACATGCACTTGTGTAGTATCCCTGGTGTGTAAAATTGAATTGTGGGAAAAAAACTTGAATTATTTGTTAAATAGCACTTAGTCAAGATTTCAGCATCATTGGCTGATATTGAAATTGAAGTAATGACACACTAAGTACGCACAAAATTGTGTTGGGATCAGTAATTGACGGTATCTATGACTTCACTGTCACCCAATATCTCATGTGAGATCGCTAAGAACATTTTGTCTTGCCACCAGAATGTGTTTGGGTGTATTTGCATGTTGTGTGTAATCATTTTTTTAAAATTTTCATTTTAAAATAACTATTTTTTCTTGCTTTTCAGCTTTGTTGCCCGAGTTAAGACGGCTTGACTGACTGCTCGTTATTGTTTGGTCCGATCTGTTATCGCTTGTAGGACTCCTTGATCTGTCGACTGATATCGGTCGGCTCAGCCCCCGCTTTAGGCCAACTTGATCAAATGCTCGATATTGACTGGTATGATCAATTGTCCCTCATCATACGACATAATCGATTAACCAATATTGGTCGGTTCGATTGCTTGTTTTAGGCTTGCTTCACCGACCGCGCGGTATCGTCCGGTCTGATTAGCTACCCCTCATCGAACAACTTGATTGATCAACCGATATTGATCTGCTTGACCACCTGGTTTAGGCTGACTTAACAGGTCGCTTGGTATCATTCGGTCTGATCAGCTGCCCTTCATTAGTTGCCTTGGTCGATTAACCAATATTAGTGGCTTGGCCTTCGACTTTGGGAGGATGGCATGACCGCCCGCCTGGTATTGTCCGGTTTGATTGGATGTCCCTCGTCGGATGCCTTGATCGATCGATTGATACTGGTCCCGGCTGACTTGACTGGCAACCCGGTATTGTTCAGTCCAATCGGTTCTTTCTCGTTGGATGCCTCGAGCGGTCAACCGATATCAGTTGGCCCGACTGTATAACATTTGGTTGACCCATATTGAGTGCTTTGCATGTTGCATTTGATATGTTAATTGCATATATAACACATCTTGCTCGTCTTCTGCATATGATTACCACATTTGGTGTGATAATACCATGCTTGCAAGCTTGGGTATTGTTGGATAACAAATCTTGCTCGTCTTTATGTACTGATAATGAACTTGGGTATTGTTTAGTACACTACATATGTTCGATCAGACGAAAGCAGCGTGCTAAATCAGCTTTGGTGTATAATACGAATATTCACATCTGTTTGAGCACTCATATTGTACTTAATTGTTTAGTATGCTACACATGTTCTCTTCAGTGCCCGTAGCGTGCTAAACCACCATTTGGAGCACAATGTGGATATTCACACCTGTTGGAACATCCATATTGTATTCAATCATTTAGTTCGCTTGAGCTACCGTGGCATACTACCTCATATTTACATCTTGCATGCGCATCACCCAGTCAATTTAGATGGCAAGTTGATTAGTTAAATGAGTAACCCGTTTGTTAGTAATAATACATAAACGAGCATTGCTTGTGAGGATAACTCAACGAACAATGCTGAGTTTTTTGTATTATGACCAACCTGTTTATGACTTTGTTGAGGCTCCATGAACTCTAAAATACGTCACTTGCATGTTACAGACCCACATTTAATGGTTATATTTTTTAAAGTATAAAAATTGATATTTTTCTATTATGTATTATCCGCCATAATTTAAAATTATATAAGTTAGATCATATGTGAAACCTCTTATTTAAAATGTCATTCCAGTGACGTATTTTAGATCTCTTGGATCTTGAGGACGAGGTAGGTTGATAACCCCTTCAAAGTCATACTCCTAGACATTACCCCTGCACTTTGTACACACTAAGATGTTGTGACAGACATGCTATGCGATAGATGGTATACTAGGCCAGGACGGGTGCTTGGGTAGTTTTTTTTTATGTCATTCGATCGTTCATTGCTGTTTTGTGCCATAGTCATGCATCTTTTGTTTGGTGTGATAGATGGTATACTAGGCCAGGGCGGGTGCTTGGGTAGTTTTTTTTATGTCATTCGATCATTCATTGCTGTTTTGTGCCATAGTCATGCATCTTTTTATGTGTTTGGTGGATGCGAGACAAGCACATTAGTATATTAAGTAAATTGTTTTTAACTTAAATCTAACTTGAAAACAGCTAAAAATATCGTACCAACGCTCCCTAAGAGTTTCAATAAACAAAATCCCTCTCTCCACCGCAAAAATAAATGTTTGCCGAATGATGAATATGCGGTGGAAAAAGTGAATCAGTTGAGCAGGTTGACTAAAACACCGAAGTGGTACATATATCAAATAAATTTAAGGGGCATGATGAAGCAACCAACTCGATTCCGCTCTGCGAAGTACAAACGCTTCTTTCAATCGTCTTTCTGCGATCCACTCTCTGGTTTTATTCTAAGCGGTGGGAAAGGGAACGCTTTTGCATGCAACAATTCGGTGGAACGCAACCATCGCAGTCTTTCATTCTCTCTTCTTCTCACCCTAAGCTGCAACCTTTTCTCACTCCTCTCCTGCACTTGCTTATCCATTAATCTGTACGGCGCTCTCAGGTAGTCCGATCTCTGCGCACTCTTTTCTTTTTTTATGTTGTACAGTTTTTTATTTTATACCCTTGTTTTTGTCTTTAATTTATGGAATTGGCCACTGGAATTTGGAGTTTGAAGTCGCTGTTGTCGATGATGGGTTTTGTTCGAATTTATAATTTCGATGAATTGGTAACATGCGCAGTTTAATTTTTGTTCTACGGGGGTTTCCCGTTTCGATTGCTGTTGATCTAGTTTTTAAATTCCCATTTTGGTGGGTTGTTTATAGGATGAGTCTGGGGCTACCATGTTTTACCGAGGTTTTATTAGATTTCTAAACATGTTCCCCTTCTTCGATGTATTAGTAACCAAGTATGCACCTTTGGGGATAGGTGAAGTGTGGCTTGGTTGCTCTGAGCTTTCGGCACTTTGCTTGACTTTGGTTTTTAATTTGGAGGCCAAGTTGTTTAATTCATATGAAATTTTTACGTAGGTTCCTGCCTAATGGGGCTTTAGCCTCTGTATGGACCCAAAATTTGGATGCTTTTGTCAGAATTTGTTCGTTGAATCCTTTCCCCTGTTCTTCTTCCTTTGATTAGAATAGTTTGGTTAAAACATCGAGTAATACAAATTATTGCGTCCAAGGCCATTAAACTGTAGAAACATTATTAGTTTTATACAAAGCTGATTTTTTTTAAGGAGTATTTAGTTAGGATATTGGATGGTCTTTATCAGCATGCTGTTTGCCTCTTCCGTAGAGGTATGATTTTTGTATGCTTGTGGAGGCCATATTTTCAGCCTTTTTTTTTTAGTAGTTTCTGAAAATTACTCGGTGATTACATAGTTTGTGTCCTATCTGATTGTTTCATTTCTCACTTCTTTTCAGATCTGATTCTATAGATTTATATGTAGAAGCTAGTGACATTTCATTAGGATTTTCTTGGTTTTGAGGTTGGCATTAAATTTAGTAGTTTTTTATCACAGTCAAACTCCACAGATTTACTCATGGCATGCCACCAAAAAATAATTGACAATAGCTTTTTCATTGTCAAAATAGTACAGCAACTCAAAGAGCAGCATCATCATTAGATTTTGCTAGATTTTTTATTTGGTGTGATGAATCCTCTTCCATAATTCATTATGAGCACAAAATTAGATGGTTACTCTAATGTTTGCAATTTTTTTGTCCAACTTCAAATTTGTTTTACCTTCGGTCAAATCATTATTATTTTGAATCCTTTTTAGGTGAATTTTTTACTTTTTTTTGCACTTTTTGAAACCGTCAAAGACAAAATTTCAGCCTCTTATATTCAATAGGTGTTGCTCTCGACTATCTCTCTTCTATAAATCATTTATTATTTTACATTTTGTAGTTTTGTCACGCCTTATGATGAGATTTTTAGTTTTCTAACTCAATTTTGTTATGACTTTTATTGTTCTTTCATTTGGTTCCATACAACATAACCAATCTTATTGTAGTTATTTGAACTATGCACATAAGATTCTATTTTTATCACATATTACTCTATAATATTTATTCGAATTAAACCAGTTAAGTTTCACTCAAGAAGTTATGTTTTCATGCATATCCCAATCTTATATATAATAAATCCAAGGTACTTAAACATATTATACTTGTATATAATTTATAATGGTGTCGACCGTTTTAACTTCATAATTTGAAAAAGTGATGATTTTATGATTTTGAAAATAATTTAAATATGAATATAACCTTTTTGATTTTTAAAAGTAACATTTTAATTTTAAAATAGGTGAGACCAAACATGTCTCACATTTTAAATAGTTTAGATGATTGAATACAATACTACAAGTAATACACTTATCCAGAAGAATAAATATATCACTTGTAATAAGAATTCAATCACCTAAACTAAAGAATTTGTGACATCTGTTTTGGTCTGCGAAATATTTTATAAAAATGCCAACAAGTTTCCGTACCTAACATAAAAAATTAAATAAAGTTTATTTTATCTGGGTTTCAGATTCCCTACAGAAGCAAACTCCTATAGTTAATTACATCTTAAATGACCGAAATCACTTAAGAAAACTCTCGATTAAGATCCGTGGTTTTGTTTTCAAGATTTTCAAAGTTTAGGGTTTTCAAGGTAGGACATGAGAAAATCAAACGGGAGTGGCTCAAATAAGAACAATTATTTAAGTAATCCAAAAAGAAGAAAAGTATGGGAAATCACAGATTTGGGAAAACCCCGGTGATATCCCAAACTATCCTATCGTTCGGCTTTACATCTTTGAAATGAGGTTATTTGATGTTGAATCCTGCAATTTATTCAGAATTTAGGACTTATAATTGCACGATATAAGATTATACAAATAGCCTAAAAAGATAGAAGAATTTACACTGTACCGTACAATAACATCGGAATCCTAAAGTGCTAGGACTTATAATTGCATAACGGGGTTGTACAAAAAGTCTAAAGAATATGTAAGGGTTTACGTTGCGCTAGACAAACTACCTCGAAGTCCTATGAGTTGTTATTTAAACTAAGGAAAATGTTCAGTGATGTGAAATTGTTTTGTTGTTGCAGATCCACCTTGAAGTTGTTCTCCTCGTCGTGCTGCCCACGGTGCTCGCTCTAAGCTCCACGTCACGACGTCTCCGGTTTAGTTTTAGTTTTGAAAATTCACCTAACCACTAAGTTGTCTTATACTAAGGCATAGTGTGTATTAAAACAAATGAAACATGTGATATATAAAAGAAGAAAAAAATAATATTACATGTTAGGAGAATACTATAACGAACTAAATAAACAGTATAACAGGCTATGGAAAACAGTATACATGCTAGAAAAATAACATAACAGGCTACAATATAACAGACTAGAAAATTGTACAGCAGGCTATGCAAAACAGTATACATGACAGGAGGAAAAGTATAAAAAAGTATAACGTGCTAAGGTGCTAAGAAATAAAATGTTGTATTGTAAATTAAACCTGTATATTTGAGAGTCTTGCTGCTCCCTTAAGTTTAGCTAGTATGCGTTGTGCAAAAGGAGAAAATATGACTTGTATGACTTGAAAGACTAAACAAATCGTAGGAAAAAGACAAACAAATGAAACAACATACAATATCACATATAAAAGATCAAAAACATACAATATCACATATAAAAGATATCACATATAAAAGACCAAAAATAGGAGATTTATATATGATATTGGAAATGTTATCAATTGCCAGGAGGATCTGAGTGTAAGATTCAAGCTCAAATCACAGAGCATTGAGTTTCAATTTTGGTCAAGTTAAGACAAAAATTTCATTATTTGATTTAATTAAATCAGTCATGAATCACAATCTAATGCACCATCGTGTCTAGTGTCCTAATTATCTCATGAACTAGGGTCAGATGTCTGGTTTCTTAGGTTCATTTGAAAATTAGGATGATGAACTCTCTCTCAGGGTGTGCTCCTAAGACCTAAGAAGCCTACACTTTATAATTTGAGTTTGAAGTGTTATAAAGTGTCTAATTTCAATTAAGTGTCTTTCAACTATCCTCGAACATCTTTAGATCAAGCTTAGCTCGCTATCAGACTCCTAAAACCTAGGGGTAAACTTATAATTTTGGCAAATAAATTGTGAAATGTGCTTCAATCATAGTTAGAGTAATTAGATTTAAGTTTATTCAAAGCTTAAGGGACCTAAATGCAAGTCTACTGATCTTTCAATCCATATTCTTAATCGTTATCTAAACTCTTACTTTCTTCCAACTCTCAACTATTATTCCAATTACAATTTCATTTTTTCTATACAAAAGAAATAGTGAATGGTTTACTATCATATCTTTTTCTTAGGTTTTATCATCTCAAAGAACCAAATTTCATTTTTAATTTTCTCTTCCTTTCTCTTTTCCTCATATTTTTTTAAAACCATGAATCATTTCTGAAGATAATTAAATCGAAAATTCTCATTTTTAACTTGACCGTTAAAAAAAAAAAGAAAGCAAAACAAGCAAAAAGAGGCCAATCCACTTTTAAAACAAAGTCAAATCGGTAAAGCTTAAAACGAAATCATAAGTATATCGACCTAAAAACGTTTAAAACTAGTTAAAAAAAAAGAAAGATGACAGAATCAAACTCAAAAAGTAGTTTAAAAGCTTCAAAAATATAATTTAAACCTTCACGAATAAAACTTTGGAATGTGGCAAATAAAACTTTAAAAATGTATCCTAAACATATCACTAGAAAATGCTCCAAGCACGGCTCACACAATCAAAGAACCGACTTTCACAACAAAGGTGAAAATTCACCACATTAAGATTTGCGGCCAGGGACAATGAGGAAGAAAAACCAATCTCAAACCAAACATCTTCAATCATAATAGAACTAAAAGGGAAGACCCACATCCAGGGGAAATGAAAAGAAAGCTAAATTCGAGCCAAATATAAGAGCTGAAAAACATATCATAATTTAAGCTAAATGTAAACCGAGCCTACCAAAGGGGGCAAACAGAGCACATCTTTCCAGCATTTATTGTAAACATGAATATCAATAATATAAACTTTGATAATTTCATTCCAATCATGCATTCCAACAAAATGTAGCAAGATAAACAAGATATGAACCCCAAACACATTTTTTTAGCTCATAAACATAGTTTCCAGTATGTATTTTATCAAGGGGCAGCAAGAGAAGCAAGAAATGAGCCCAAACATATTTTTCCAGCTCATAAACATAGTTTCCAGCATGTATTCTATCAAGGGGCAGCAAGATAAACTAGATATGGGCCCCAAATACATTTTTTCCAACTCATGAAATAGTTTCCCGCATGTGTTTTATCAAGGGGCAACAAGATAAACTAGATTTGAGCTCCAAATATAATTTCCAGCTCATATAAAAAAATGATTTCCAACATGAATCTAACCTGAAAGAGCCAAAGCCGAGCTTACTAACATGGAAAAAATAAAGTAAAATTTCCAGCATTTTTTATTTCCAAAGGACTAAAACCGCACCCAACAAATGGGTCAAAACAAAACAAAATTTCTAGCATT